TAATATTTACGTCCGACAAGCTTGTAAATCGGATGAGTGGGTGGATTGGATTTAATCATCAATGACTGTTGATAATTCCATTTGTTTTGTYAATGCCGTGACTTACAGGCTATAGGACTTTATAACACGCTGCACGAAAATAATTAATTATTATATCAATACGAGTTTATAATTTAGAAACTAAATATAGTGTATGCTTTGTTGTGTTTGTTTCAAATATTTTTGATTTTGTAACGCAAAAATTAGTCTACAATGAAAATATTGTTTTTGTAATAAACCTACCGATGAGTACTAAAGAGACACAATATTTTTTCCCCTAACAACATCATGGGATCATACTAATAATATAATAAACGTTTAACGATGTGAATCACAATATTAATAATAATATTAAATACTAAACTCGWGCTCATGTTCTAATATTATAAAATTATAGACTTGCCTCATTTTTGGCAGCTCGCAGTACAGCCATTCGGAAGCGTCTTCCACGGTAACGCGTCTATGGTCGGCCGGAAGGTCAAGTTTATTTCCGGCCACCACAATCGGCAGAACCTGGTAGTCCTCGCGCTGTTCACGGACTTCTTCGAAGTTTCGTTTGACCGTTTCGAATGACCGTTCGCAATCGATCGAATAGACGAACAGGAACGCGTTTGCATTGGCTATGCTCAATCGCCTCATGGCCGGAAACTGCGGGTTGCCACACGTGTCCAAGATGTCCACCTGTAACCATACATAATGATATGAAATATAATTTACCGTCGTCAGGGAAAACCGACTAGTTTTGGAATTTGCGAGGTTAKTACTTTCTATAGTATGGTTCTAAAACTAGGAAATTCGATTGCATAAATATTTAAATTAAGTCACTTTGAAATCGACGCATTGACTTAGGTAATTAATACCAGAGGAGTATGAGGGGAAGGAACCCACCCAGGGTTGTATTTTTTCAAATATAAAACTAGTTTTTATGAGGTATTGATGAGGCCTTATTAGATTCGATTGAAAAATGTTGTTAATTATTATTCTATAAACCAATATGAAAAATGTATTTATTATATTTTTTAATATTAATTTTATTACTGTAAGAGGTTGATTATTTATGCAATAGTATCCGGATTCCATCTGTAATYATAATATGATTTTAATTGTTACTTAATATTTTAATGTTGATCTGTTAGTAAAATGTTTTTGAAATGTTCCATCGTACCATGTAAGTGTATATTTAGTCAATTATTTTCAGTTACGTTGTAATGCATCATTTYCGTCAATACTACCTATATATATTATATACGTTGCAAAACTCATTTGATACAAAAACATTAACTTGATATCATCATACTAAAGCTGTAATCTATGTAACATATTATTATTATTATTATTATTGCAAATATTATTTATTTAGTAATTATAACTTATTTCGTTCAATATTTCCAATGTGACTAATAGAATAATATAACCACTATAATTTTATAGTTTCARTTATCAATCAAAAACATATTTATTGTTATGGGCASGTAGATAGAAATTTCACAGAAATATAAATAAAACTTTGAGTGTTGTCAATTTTGGATGACAATGGAATTATAATTATTCGAAAGAGAAATGTTTGATTATTTTAGACTTTAAGTTTTACATTCATATTATAAATAATTGATACAGTGCATACGGATCAACTAAAGTAAATTTCAATCGAATTATTTGTACAAGTTAGATGCATCAATTCGAATGAGGATTATCGAATCGTCAAACAATCGTATATTATTTTAAATWTAGACATATTCCCATCATGTACTTGAATGTATAATAATATATTAAATATAAAGCTCGATAGTATAGGAACATTCAAAACACGCACTTGCAGTGCATATTTTATCGCGAGAGAGTTTAAGGTCTCATTTGCTATTGCAATCGAACTCAAAAGTTTGTTTAATGTTGAAAACCCAATTTCGTTCAAAACTTATATACATAATGTATAATATACACGTGGGTACTAAAGATGAACACTGAAGTTGACTGTGTGTCTATGGAGATGATAATCGCAATTACAGACGACCAATAAATACTATATACATGTGAATTGTGAGTGAAGAAAAACCGAACCCAGACGTGATATGATTCTCAATAAAAYGAAACTGTTTTAGCTACGTGCATATCCTCCCTGGTCTTTATCTCCATACACRCCTACAGGTACGTGACTCAACATATCTAAGTATGCGATTTCAATTTTTTTTTGAAAGTAAGTTAATTTCATCGCACCTACTTATTCAACATTCATGTTAATCCCCATTGTATCTGTTAATTATGCATTTATTCAAATTTTGGTTTTTGCATTTTATAAGTATATAGGTACTTAAAAATCATATTTTCAAATACTTAGATTTTTTATGCCACTGAAGGAACCCTGTGTCGATACAGACTTCCTTTTTTCAAATATATGCATAATTAAAGGATATAATGTTGTGAGCATACTTGAGAAATTAATCACTTCCGTATATCTCTAGATACACTTTAAGACACAGAAAACGAGACSCGAGGGGTTAAATTCGTGTCTTCTATAAGTCTTCTTTTACGCGACCCATATACAWACTCGAAAAACGAATTTAAATTTTCTTTCGAAGGTTCAAATAATATATTGTGACTCATCTTTTGATTTCTTTTCAACCATCCTCCTGAAAATGGCAATAAAATATTCTTACCCAATTATAACAAAATGCTTTTATGTTTGAACAAAAATAATTGTTTAATTAAATTTCTATTTTAATAATCGTTAATAGTAAGAATAACAAATAATACAAGTGTAAATGACATTCATCATAGATGCTTAATTTTTTATTTTTTATTAGCTGATTTACAAAAAAAAGCAAAGCAATCTCAAATGCGTGCTAAGAAATCYATATATCTTACACATATACAAGATCTTTGGTTTGAACTGTGATTTATATGAATTAATCTTAAAATCCAAAAATATACTGACCTATTTGTGTATTWAAGATACTCAAATATTATGCTTGTTATTACATTCATAATATTATTCAATGTGGAAATGTATTCACGATAATAAAATTACATCTAATATTATTATTTTATTAATATCACTGTTTGAGATTAAAACATTATGTTTCAACGGTTATTTATAATCGTTTGACATAAAAAAAAAATATATATATAATGTGTACAAGCATCACTATATATGGATGATTTTATTATGTTTTAACACGGAGTGTATAACATCGACCTACTCGAATTAGAAATACATTTTTTTCATGTATGTAATATACCTAATACTATAAACATKAACTGTAAACACGTGCACAATCTACAGAAACAAAAATAAAAATCGCCTACGGATATGTGAAAATATTTTTGTATCGACGATTGAATATTTATGTATATTTATAAAATTCATTTTTCCAGAATTATTTAGTTATATGTTTTACTTTTGAATAGAGTATCGTTATTATGAGTGCGCAAAAAATAAAAATAAATGCCTAATACAGTCGCGGTTGCGCGYGAAAAAGAGGTTGTCGTTAAAATCAAATTTTTCAGGAGAGCAAAAACAAAGTTAAATTAAATAAATTAAATTAAAGCTCGGTATCAAAAGATATATGTACCTATTTGTGACATAACTCTTGTAGCACCATAAAAATTGAGTTAACACTAAATGCACATTGAAATAACACATTCAATAATGCAAAATGAATTATATCTTTTGACACAATGTACGTAGTTTTTCTGCATTTTTTTTATGTAAATAACTAATTTTACACAAAATGTTGATTTAAAACCCCTTTTTCACGCGCAAGTGCGCAACCGCGAAATATATTGTAAATCCACAATAAGTCTCGTTACACTTTTAAGAATCATTTATGGTATGTAATAGGTATTAATAAATTAATTGCTTGTTATGTGATAATGTGATATTGTATTGAAATTTCATACAATATACGCTCGATTTATGCGGAAAATAGAATGGGAGAATTGACATCTGAATATTTGATACATTTATATATTAACGGCATAGTGGAGTTTACGATCATGAGATGATCTGTAGTGTCAGTTACTATTGTTATTTAAACTGTGGCGGTTGTAGCTATTAATTATTGAAATATTTGATATTAAGCTATTATTTCCATCCCCATGCATTGATCACAAACAGTCGGTGGCATAAACAATTGTAGCTGACAAAAATGTAAGAATGTATTTTATACTTAAAACATATGACACTTAACATTTTGGAATTAAAATACTAATGTTTAAAGTTTTGCATGAACTTTAAATATATTAGAGATAACTGACTGTGAAAGTTAATTAGGTGCTACTAAAAAAATTTATTTTAAGATATATATTTTAGAATGAATTTTTCCAAACAGTTATCTGCTTTTGGTTTTTGCTTACATCAAATACACACCAATATTTTACCTGACAGTCGTGAAGTTATTTATCGAATTATCCGATAGGCACCGAATTACCTTAGAATAATTAAACGTTCATTCAATATAATATATGTCTGTTTACTAATGGAGAGTTTCTAATTTCTATCGATAGGGGTTTCTAATTATAATTTATAATATTGGGAACCAATGGGGAATATTACCTAATTGTATATTTCGATAATAAAKTTTAATCTAATTAAAGATTATCCAATTCACCTACAAATAATTAGGTAAAACGATAACATAATTATTGATCTGAGTTAGTATTTTGTTTAACGATAAGTATAGTAGATTTGGATATTTCTAAAAAATAATGAAAAATAGTTTTATGTTAAGTGAACTTGTATTTATAGCTAGAATACATAAGTTTTACAAAAAAAAGTAAGAAAATAAATATTAAGTTTTGGTGTTTAAAATGAGGATCGTACTAATAAAAATGTTGAATAATATAGAATTTAAGTCATTAATACRTTTTTATTCTATTTAGGGATTCGTCATTTTATTAAATCAACTAAAATATTGTCAGTAAAACGGATATAATAAAATACGAATAAATACTTAGTAATGTTTATTGTTAAAACTTAAACATGTGATTTAATAATGGTTGATTCGTTGTTATTTGATAATTTGAAAAATTTAATAACCACTGATTTACCTAAGCTAAAATAAGTTTACAATATAAAGTAATATATCTAGTAACATTTTTATATTTATACGAATTATAGATATTATATATCTATTGAAAGTATTTAGATTTGATAATATTTACAACATMATTTTTAAATGTATTTATCTAARGAGCTGATATTAGTTGTTGTTGTTTTTATAAGTTATTGACATACATATATTTATAAAGGTAATTACATCATACAATTTTATCTGGTAAAGCTACTCAAGTTGAAGATAAGTAATTTTATAAAAAATACACAGATTATGGTATGTTCTGTACTAGATTTAAATAAGTATTGAGTTTAAAACTGTACCAAAAAGCATATGTAATGATCAAACTAACTCATTTAATTATATTAATATAATAAGTTCATCACATGGATTTTTTACGAACAATTATTTTTAAAACATATAAAGAAATTTCGATCTGGTAGTTTGACAATATCTATAAAATATGAATAGCGCAAAAACGATCTTATTATAATGAATTTTTCATATCGAAGTTTGTGTATTTAATAATTATTGATTTACTATTATACTTATAGGCTATAAAAATATTATGCTGTGTCGTTTCATAAAGAATCGCATAACCATAGCCGATAAATATACAATGATCAAACT